ACGTCATCAAAGGCCGGAGAGTAACGGCCCTCTCTACCGAAGAGGAGGAATACCCAAAAGACGTATCAGTTGTAATTGAGACTGTAGTTGAGCAGACTGGCGCTGGGTATGTTCACGCCCTGGATGTGTAGGGCATTACAGGTCAGAACCAACCTCCATTTCGAGCTATCACAAATGCAATCGTACAGGCGGGTGGTTTGTCTTAGAGCTTTCTTGATATCAATGGTATATATTCTAGATTGGATACTCATATACATCATTCCCCTATCGCGGACGAGAATTATGTACGTTAATATGGCTTAGATAGTCCAGTATATAGCTTCTTACACAACTCCTAAGCATCCTTTTGAATCATTATTAAGCTTACCATACATGTGAGATTTCAATATTTAGTATAAGAATGAATTAACTACGCTTGAGGATAAAACAATATGTTAATGTAAATATATTAACCCTAGATAAGCGAACTTAAGAGCAAACTGCTGATCCCCCTTTGCAAGTAATTTTTGGGGACAGATACAAGTCTACGCTCTCATTAGGAACCAACCATTATATTGTTCAGTTGTATTTGAGTTGCTCGTGCCAAGAATTTGCGCAAATTATTGTCGCAACTTCTTCCACTACGAGAGCAGAAAATCAACGCTGTTGCAATAAGTCCAGATGCATCAGGTTATATTTACTGCGCGCAGTCATTGACTAGTCTCATCGTCCTCGTCGTGCACAGCGCTGAACTCGGGCCAGCCCGTCGACACTATTCTCCTTACCTACGAGTGTGCGGACCGCGCCCATAGATTTGCTTCTCTATGTCTTCTAACGACTGCATCAATGTCCCCGATATGCTGGACTATAACGTGATCATGCGCGGGATGATATGCATTGGTGCGGCGTCATGGAGATTGCCGCAGATCTCGACGCTCTGTTGCGCATGTGGTAGGGGACTGAGCAGCTGTGGAGCGATCAAAGATTCCTTTACTCTGCTATATATTTGAACCAGAAGTAGAGTAATTTGAGTCACATTCGTGGCAACGAGAGCTAGCATTATTGAGTGGAAATTATGACCCATTATTAATACCTAGTAACTTCCAAAATGCGATATGTCCTCTCACTGACATCCAGATTGGGATACTAGCATGCGATTTGAACTTCCCAATTTCGACAAGAGTTTCGGCAGTTACAATATATATGCAATATCCCCAACGCTCCACAATTACCGCCGAGCAGATCCATTAGCCACAAGGACTTCGGACATACCCTCTGCTGTGCATCAATGCATAGTTCTGACTTTGGATGTTGCATTAGTTGGGCTTGAACTGCCTCTGGAAGGTGAAGACCCCCCTCTACAAGTAAATGGAACCAAAAGGGTGACCAGGTTGTATACAAACTGTCGGTGTACTATAAAACGTATATATAAGGTCATCTTGTCGCCAATTACAAGTAACAAAGATTCAACGTTTCAACCCGGCCAACTACTACCCAAATCATGTGGACCAAAATCCTATTTCTCGGCCTTCTAGGCCTATGTGCCGGCTACGCTACTGCTGCCACGATTGAAGAAAGAGCACAATATAGTTTGATCTTTTACGAAAACACCAACTTTGGGGGGCAATATGTTGGATGGACAAATACAAATTTGGCCTCGCAGCCTGGTGCGGACTGCCGTATGTATTACACTGTTTACGCGCGCCCCTTCTTTATGATGCTGACTTCCCTTCAGATAATTTAAACGAGAAGAGTCCGAATCTTGACAAAAAAGCAAGCTCTATTCGCTTTGGAGCATCTCAAAACGCCGCATGCGACTTTTTTGTGTAAGTAAGAGCTTATACCATTTACCTCGATGCTTTGATTCTTACATTCTTCTAGTAATCTTAACTGCGTAAGCCTTGGTGGACCTGGCAATGCTGATGGTGTTATGGAGTCAGGCTCACAAATCTCTGACTTGAGGGCTGTCTATCAAACTTATGGTGGAAATATGAATGACAGAATTCGGTCTTTTAGCTGCTTTTATTATTAATCTTGGCTAGAGTTCGAATTATATAAGCTTTATATATATTTGTTTAGACTCTCTATTTACGCTAGAAGGGCACCTAATGTATAAAATTTGGCTTGTCTATTAAATCATTTCTATCAAAATCAGTCAAAGAAATTCCGTAAGATATCATGTAGAAGCTTAGGGTATTTTTGAATAGTATTATTCTTTAGTAGCCAGTTTTTAAGCTTATCCCCAGCTTTTGGATCACATTGACGTGCAGTTATTGTATCACTGGTAATCTCACCTGTATACTCTGCATCGCGCTGGATGTCAAGGGCATTAGTCCCAAGGACTTGATTGATTCGATTTGAGTAGCTGAGAGCAAATAGTCTCAACTTGGATGTAAACAGTGAGATAAAGTCTCTCCCTCGCTCCTGCAGACCCCCATTCCCTTGAGCCATTTATTCAATCTTATTCAGCAGAAACTGAAGGAATCCAAGCAAGTCTGACTCATCAACTATAACCGCGGATTGTGGACTTTGATGATGCGTTAGGGTCACCAATCCCGTACGATCACCGCATGTTGCTCTATCAACAACAATTTCTAAAAGTGCCCACACCAATTTGGCATATGTAGTTAGAGTGAAGCATAGCTGAGAATATGTAACGAATGTAAGATGAACCAGGTCAACCGATGTTATTTCTAAAAGGCCCAAGATAAAAAGCTTGCAAGCTCTTACCGTCTTGTAAATTATGGCGATTTTCTCAGTTAGAGATCCAAAAGTGTTATTGTTGGTAACGCTCAGGGGATCAGAATTAATGTAGTGGAGCCATAGTTGTTGGCTCAGAGCTGCATATTATCCCATATATATGCTCACATAATGAATATATCTAAACTCGCCAAGTGTCCTTGATTCACGTCAGTTGACTCAGTTCCTACAACTGAAAGATAAGTTATCAAAAGTCGGTTATTCACCGCTGAGGCTACTCAGTGGCTCTGTAAGATTCTGTTATTGATTCAGACCTATCTTGATGACGCCCAACTCTTTCTTAAAAAAAAAAGCAACGCACTAGTCTGACCGGCGCATCCGATGTGTCTGGCGACTAAATACCACGAACCGACGTGAAAGCCTCGTAGATCCGACCAGGTAAGAATTTTAAAGCGATCCATGGTTAGATACGGCAAATATCGCGATCATTTGGTTGCCCTGATAATTCATTCAAGGATTTGTGGGCTTTTCAATAGCATCCGCATACATCAATCCTATCGGCTTTCCGAAAACCTTCTCAGCATTTAAGGGGTCGGGGCACTTATGCGTTGGCATAAGCCCAAAAACAAATATTAATTGCGGAGAACATACTATTTCGATATTGAGTAGGTTCCAAGGAGAGCCCGTTGTTCTTCTTACGTCATTTTTGCTTTCTATTCAAAGTTGAGCGTGTAGCAAAGTGTGATGCACGTCTGATGGAGATTCAGAACATCAGGCCGAGAGCTATGGGAAAACGGAAAGAGGTGACACCAGTTGGCTAGGGCAGGAAATCCCCGGAGGTCAAGGTTTCTTTCCAATCCGAACATTATTCGGCGGATGCCCTGGATCATGACTTCATGTTGCACATGCCCCCATAAAGGATGCTCTGGCTCTATAATTACGGCAATGATGCGCAGGAACAGAACAGGGTTTAGCTGTCTGATGTGATAGGAGCCTTTGTATGTAGAAACTGCCGAGAAAGGAAAACAGGGACGAACTTTCGTTGGAATTTCCGAAGTAGCGCCTCCGTTTCACGGTTATTGAGAGCTTCCAGAACAACAGGGTCAGCACTCTCATGTTTAATTACGGCCTTCGGACTGTGGTATTGAAGGTTCCCTGATTATGAAAGAGAACTATCACTTGTTATAGCCAACATGCCCTCGGTAGAAGAAATCACGGACTGTGTTGATCAGGAGGATAATGCTAGCGGTATTATGTTTTGTTCTGTCAAGCTTGTGAAGTACGTAATCAGCCGATTAACTGTATTTTCAAGTCTTTCCGCATGTATGTTCTTTTTATTAGTACAGTCAATTTTTTCTCACAGTGTTCAGTGAGTGTGCGGTGGCGCGCACAAACCTAGACTCGCTGCGCTTGCGCTTCCGTTGTGACACCTCGAGAAAGACGCATTCTTTGCCAAATCGTTCGCATTTCTGGCACACGTTGGGCCCATGTAGCATACATTTTTGCTTCATGGAGGTACACGCAACGAAAGCGCGTCTTCTCGACACAAGATTAGACGGGTGTGATTCCATGAGTCTACCTCGTTCGTGACTTGAGAGTAGGGTTTGGCCATCCATGTAGGGCGTCCCCGGGTATTTCATTCCCTGGACTCCTTTTCCCACTAGGGTATGTTTGGTTGTCCATAGGCTAGTTCAAAAATGCATCGCCTACCTATTAACAAACTGCGAAAAGATTCTCTTCAAAAAGGGTGAAGAGATATATAAGGGAGCTTGATTGAGGCTTCGCACTCAGAGCATAAGTATAAGCATAATTGCCACCCCGGAAAAAAAACTTTCAGTGTTACTAATATTCCTTGCAGTTGTGTTATGTGTAAACTATTGACTCATGTTACCAATAGTGTGATTTAGTTATGGGGTTATAAATGAAAATGATTGGATTGGAGTAGTGTTTATTTAATAGTCGCGCTTTAGAGGTGAGGCACGCAGTTATATACCCACTTTATTACTCAATGAAGAATGGAAGCAAGCTTCAGCTGAGAGAATAGCTTGTGTAGCTATTGATATAGCTAGTGTGCAGATCAAGGCGGCGCAGGTTTTTCTCCAAACGACGCTTATAATTGAATCAAACACAGTCTCCATCTCCTAGCCTATGCCTCGTGACCAAGCCGATCTTTCATCTTCTACAGCATGAGGTATAAATAAGATGTGCCATCCACCGGTGCAAAAAATAAAACAAGGCTTACGCCCAGTTGGTGGGATCCACGCCACTTGTAAGTAACTCATCAGTCTTCTCTACGGCTGTTGAAACCGTTCCACAACAATATGCGTTTCCTACTCGCAGGCGTATCTGTGCTCCTGCTTGTGGTGTCCAAGGGAGCTAGCAAAGCCATCCCGGACGCCACCAACGCCCACGAATTGGTTGAGCGCAACCAAATCTATCACACCAAGAATGGGAATAACTTTGCCGTGGAGAGTGGTTTCGATTATCATGGCGGAGACTACAAGACAATCACAGCCAATACTTTTTACGATTGCATCGATGCCTGCGCGACTCAGCCTGCTTGCCGTGCTATCTCATTTTCTGGTAAATCATGCTACCTCAAGTCCTCGGTAAACGCCGCCACTGCCAACAAGAAAGTGAGCGGCGCAGTCAGGGTACAATATTTACCAGCCCCGATTATATGTCCTGCAGATGGTAGTAATCAGGTCAAGGCAACCGATGGCCGGCGCTTTACTATCCAATGCGGAGTAGATCATCCTCATGGAGATATTTCATCGGCACTGACCCTTGACTTCCCCAACTGCATCAACCTATGTGATAAGACACAAGGTTGTATTGCTGCCAGCTGGCGATCAAGAACCTGTTATCTCAAGAAATCCTTGCAACCCGCCGTTGTTGCTTCTGGAGTTGATACAGCCGTGCTGAGTTCCATATTAAACACACCAACGTTGTGCCCAGGCCCAAGCGGCCAGCAAATCAAAGAACCAAGTGGAAGAAGCTTCACTATTACGTGCGACACCGATTATCCCGGCGGCGACTTGAAGAACAAGCTGCTTAATAGCTTTGGCGATTGCATTGCTTGGTGTGATGAGACAACGGGTTGCCAAGCAGCTATCTACCACGATGGCAGATGCTGGTTGAAGAATAAACTAATGACTTCCTCCAAACACACGGCCAGCCAGGCGGCTGTACTAAGCTCCTTGCTGACGGCTCCCGCTATTTGCCCTAATCAGAACGGAAAGCAGGTCAAGGAGTCAAGTGGAAGATCCTACACCATCTCCTGCAATACAGATCGGCCTGGTGGTGACATGGCCTCGAAGATGCTGCGAACATTTGGTGATTGCATCACGTGGTGTGACCAGACTAACGGCTGCGTCGCCGCTGCTTACCACGACGGCAAGTGCTGGCTGAAGAAGACACTCATGGGTTCTTCTACATCCGCAAACCGTCAGGTCGCCGTACTAAGCAGCAAACTCCCGCAGACGACAGTACACACTACATCTTCCTCGACCCGAAAGGTAACATCAACGACTCTTAGGTCTGCCTCGGCATCCAAGAGCATATCCACGAGTTCTGGAAGTTCCAAGACGACGTCAGCACACAGTACATCTTCCTCAACCCAAAAGACAACATCAACGACTCTTAGGTCTGCCTCGGCATCCAACAGCATATCCACGGGTACTGGAGGTTCCAGGACAACGTCAGCCAGCACCACTGCTACCTTTACCTCAGTTCCGGACTCGCCAATAACTGGCTACATTACTGTAGTGGAAGCTCCGGCGACCAGTCTCAGCCGGCGCTCTGTTAAATATATTGCCTTTGAGAATCTATTTGGTCGAGCTTATGATGACGAAACAAAGGCCAGCCTCGTTACCTTTCATTCCAACGGCAGCATCGAATACAATGCTGTTCTTGTGAGTGGAATTGCAGCAGATACACTGGTGGTCCTCGGCCTTTCCTCTGGAGAGGCTAACACTCTTTCGACCTGGAAACGAGATGAGTTTGGCAATGCTGTCATCATTGGATCGACCGGCTTCTGTCTTGGTTCGAACGGCAATATCATTGTTCAGACAGCAGCTTCATCGCCAGCAACCTGCAATCCAGTTTATCTTGTCATCGTGCCAAGTCTTCCTGACAGCTGTACATCCGGCAGCGCTAATGTTACGCTCACGCCCCAGCCGAATGGCGATGTCGACCGTGCCTCGAACGCTGTCCTTACTCCATCATCAAACGTCACACTCAATTATGCAGAGATACATGGTACACAGATTGCCGTCATGGAGCTGTCAATGAAACCTGGTATGCCCGGCGTTGTGCTGGCAAACAGTAACAAAATCATCTCGACTGCCTGTACTGCTTCATCTCTTGTCCTTACGTTAAGCGACGGCATATCAGCTGCCGATATCCTAGCCTCAATCCCAGACACAGGAACCGTCCTAATCACCAGCAGCGCATCTTGCAATGAGGAGAATGCCTATGGATTTTGGCTACTCGGAGGTCGAGCCGACCCGAGCGAAGCTGGTCCTAAGCTGAGCTTCAAGGCAGCTCAAAAGAGGATCTCAGACGTCAGTACTGTTGCGGTCATCCAATACGGCAAAGTTGACCACAATAAAGCAACATTTACAACTACAACAACTGGAGCCCCCACATCTCCCACTGAACCAGCTGCATCTTGTGCTATTACCAGTCATTCTGGTATCAGTGCTTCTGCGAGTGTCAGCGCTACAGCCACACACTCTGGGAGCAGTGCCACCCATACCGCTACTAGCACTGGCTCTGACCACCCCCTTGCTACAAGTCTATCAGACCTTACACCTGGAGCTCTCGAAGTATACAACTGGCTTTTGGAAAATGCTCGATATTCCCCAGGTGGTAGCTTGATCTTGACGCCAGGTGAAGCCAATGGCACTGTTGCAATCCCTGCGTACGATCCTGATAACCTTGGTGATCAAGAAGGCCTGCAACAGAAACTTTCGGATATGGGACTCCCCAGCCCAGAGGAGATGTTCAAACGAGTAGTGGATGGAGTTTCGGGCACCTGCACAAACAAGGATGCTTTAACAAGACGGCATCTATCTGGGGAATCGGTCTTCCAAAGGGAATCAACGCCTATCGCTTACGGAGGCAAGGTTTCCTTCCATCGTCGTAATATTGAAAAACTTAAACACCACCTTCATCGTCGATCATGGGATGAGTTTTGTGATGGAACCGCTTCTGATATTCTTGGAACTCTCAGCGAGGTATGTGCGGCATCCAGATAATGGTTGAGAAATGGCGTAACTGACAAAACCAGTCGTACGAAGGTATCCACGCCGGTATTTGCACAGGCCACGAGCTTTACGAGAACCGCGACGCTATCCACTGCTTCTTCACCGGCTGTGGTTCCAGCCACACGGTTAAGACGACCACGTACCAGTTCAAAGGCGACTGGCAGGTCAAGATCCCAACTATCAGCCAACCGTTGCTAACCCAAGGACCTGCAAAAACGTTCAGCTGCGTCACATGCTCGTTCAACATGGACAGCGTTGTCTTCTCGGGTTCTATAGTCCTACAAATGACAGATAATGGCCCCAGCTCAGCAACATCAGCCGTCGTAACTCACGGTGTTACCGGTGGCACCACAGCTAGTGTTCGAATTCAATCAGATTCTGCCTGGCAAGGATCTTGGGACCACATATTCGATGGTGTTACACTTGGCACGATAACTCTGGATAATGCTTTCGCAATTACGTGAGTGCTTTTGCCTTGCTCTTCTCATTTCTATTCTCGCATGCCAGTCTGAACGGCCAATCGCGATGATGACATATAGCTTCCTACGACTAATACTTGAATAGACCGCAGGTATTTTACAGGATAGGATACCAGTTCTCAACCGACTCCGCTGTTGACGTGACAGGTGGAGCAGGGTACAGTTGGGACGATGCATCTATCGACATGAATATTCTCAACCACGCATCTGACTCTAAGAGGAACTGGACGCCCAAGGTCAACTGGATTCTACCACAATTCAATACTGGGGCGAAAGTGAGCATCAATAGCTTCAGCCAGTGGATTGTTGACCTCAAAGTCGTGGTTCAAGGGAATATGGTCTTTAACCCGAGGATGTTCTCTTCGAATTCCGTGGGCATGTCCTCGCAATACAACTTTGCGGCTGCTAATGGTTGTCCGGCTAATTCGCTATCTGTTAGCACATACGTGAGTAATGATAACTGGATTAACATCAACGACGGGTCGTCACTACCTGTCGTGTTGTCGAACGGTGAGAATGGCCGCCAGAATCAATGTTTTAACGTTCCTAGCGTTTGGCCAGCTCCCAGCGAAATTGCTTCTTTGGCACCAGGTTCCGGAGACTTTTGCACATCATTAATTGGCTACAATCCACCTACAAAGCGCACTACATTGACCCAGGTCAAGACTGTGCCCAGCACTATAGTTGTTTCAACAAGTGTTACAAGTACAATCACTACGACCTTCACAGTCACTAGTTCCACTAGCAGTTCGTACGATATGACGCTCACAGCTCCTGCTACCACATCAACTGTGTATCAGACATCAACCGTGACAATGGGTGGAAGCTACGCTCCAGTATACAGGCGAGATGTGGTACCGACACCTGCGCCAAGGGGAGCTTTTGATCGGCGAGAGATCGCCGTGCCTACCGGAATGGAAGGGTGGCCGGTTGATAAGATCAGCTACGCTTGTAGCCAGATTGCAACGGGGACAAATTATATTTCTCAGACCAATACTGTCACTACAACATCGGGAGTCACCACCAGTACAGCCACTCAAGTGTTCAACGCAAACGGGCCGCTTGTCACCACAACGACCACTTTCACTTTCTACGAGTTCACGGGCTTTACGACTACAACTACTTCCGCAGCTGCTACAGCTACCTCATGTCCAGTCTCTCCAACAGGTGCCAGTTGCTTCAGACTTGCGGTACACGGCGGATCATGGCTGGAAGGGTCATACCTTGGTATCAATCTTCAAGGCTCTCATAACTATGCAGGCATCAATCGCGCTGGCACCGAAGCTAGCAGTTGGGAACCGGGTGTGTATACTGAGACATTCTATCTTGATGCGAACGGACATCTTGTTGCGCCGGCTGGCGGTGGGCGAAGCCCATATGTTATGCTGGACGTGGATCAGAACGCTCCCTATATACAAAGGGCTCCTTTGATGGGACTTCCGCAATATTTTGCTTCGTATTGGCAACATGTCGATGTTGCCAAATGTGTCATCGATGCCTCGGATACCTGTCACAAAACACTCACTTGCCAGCTTCGTGATCAGATAGGTTTCTTTGTCAAGCAGCCATTCTATCAAGCTTGGGAAACCTCGCCAGACTATCAGTTTGACCTCGAGGAGTGCGAGAGTGGTGATGGGCCTTGTCCACCTACAAAGCCGTCGGGATTATATTGGTATGATGCACTTAGTCTATATCGCATCACTTGGGGTAACCCTACAGGCGACTCCCAGTACATTCCTGTCACGCTTGGGGTAGAAGACGCCCCTTGTCCTTGCGACTTCTTGGGTGTCAACTATATGGGCTATGAATAAATCCAAGGCAAAACCCGTTTGACATGTCTTCCTTGTTGGTTCATATATTCACAGGAGGCTGTCAAAGCTGAGGGTTGGAAACTTCTCATTGGGAAGTAGTTAATCTTTTGGGGCGTAACACTAGCGAGAACAGGAATACCAAAACGTGTCTTTTCTTTTTACAAGGTCATCCTAATTAAATTATACTAAGACTCTTTTTTAATACCTAAATATTAATATTACACAAGAGCAATGAACAGCTCGCCTTTTTACTTGTCCTCCAGGTCCCCTTTCCTCCACTCTCTACTACTTTGACATTTTCTCTTCCCCGCATCTTTGAGAGAATTTTAACAATGATCGTAATTAATTAGTGATCTCATGGCCTCTTTTTAACATCAGTTACAGCACTCAGCAGGTCTTACATCTTGCTCTCAATTAACAATTTTACAACAGTCTCAATCTTGACGCTGCATTGTAAAATCGCAGATTTGAGATTATAAAACCACTGACCTATCCATGAAGAAGAGATGGTTGGTAGATTGGAGGACTAGGATAGGACATAGCCAGTGAAGCAGTCTCCGCTCGAGATCACCTTCAGAGCGGCTTTGCAGGCAAGTTTTGTAACAGCGTAATAAGACAACAAACATAAACGTCAAGACCGAAGCCCAACAAAGATAAAGCCACTAAGAGGTGAATACTAGTCTCACTGATGTACCTCTCGAAGCCTCAGCACGTATTGTATTAGCTGGCTGTTCCCAGTAAGAAAGATTTACTTAAAAAGCCCATTCCCAAATAGGCAGCTCTCGTTTTGTCTCCACTTCATATATGCACTCTTCACGCCCTACCTGTATGTAAACTTACTTAAGTAGGCATAGACAACTTCCTGATTCCATATCAAAGTGGAAATGCTTGAGCCCCCTTGCTGAATCCCTGTATTGTATATATTGTATAAGTGTAGCTTAATTCAAGTAGAGATTTCTACGAAGATTAACGTCAGGTTTAATATGAATACGTATAACTGAAGTAATGCAATATTACCTAACTAAAGATATGAAATGTTACAAGATTCATATTGTATTTTACATTCTATACTAACGATTTGTTTGAATGTGTGGGTGGCGAGAGTGTATTGCACCTTTCAAATGCATTTCGAAGTTCTATCCAAGAGATATGCACTGTGACATATAGAGTAGTAATATGCCGCAAATATAACTAAATGGTAGTGTGCCATTAGGCAAAAGAGAATTATATAGTATGTTGCTCTGATACTGAAAATTACCCATGAGATATTCACCGCCATAACGTTAGTAACCGGGCGATGGCATTGGGATGTTTATTTGATGATATATGTATAAATAGCCCTGTTCCTCATTATACTTTTCACTGGAATTTTAACAAAGACACAACAACAGGCACACAGCAAAGAAACTCTTGATTCATTATCTCATTATCTCTAAGAAAAAATCTTCTTTGAATAATGCTTCTTTTCTCATTTGCTACATGTTGGCTGACGCTTTCCTTAGCGTCAAGCCTTCCAGATTCTCAATCAAAATGGGAGACAAATGCAGTATCACGCGCTGCTTATTTCCTCGACAATGACCCAAGCGGTGCTTCGATCGTGTCTTTGGACATTTCGAACAATGGAACTCTCTCCAATCCTGCGAGAACTCTTACTAGTGGAAAGGGTTCATGGGCGAAATGGATTATTCCAAGCCCTCCTCCTCCAGACAACACTGGATTTGCAGGACCAGATAGCCTGTTTTCCGCCAACTCGGTTGTTGTATCTGGAAACTTTCTTTTTGCAGTTAATGCTGGAAGTAATACCCTTTCCCTGTTTAAGATCGACCCCAAAAACGCTCAGCGCCTCGCTCTCGTCGGTAAACCTGTTGGTACATTGGGAGATTTCCCAATCTCAGTCACTTACTCGGAGAAACTTGACACTGGTATGCCTCCCGTACATTAGATTAGCCAGACCGAAAAACAATTGACCCATTATATAGCTTGTGTTCTCAATGGTGGAAAAAGAGCTGGAGTCGCCTGCTTCTCCGTTGACGAGACTCGTGGCCTCATAGCTTTGGACGGCAGCCTTCGCTCTATCGCCCAAGCCTTTAACCAAACTACGCCACCAGGAGGCCCTATCCTCACCGCATCAGATATTATGTTCAATCCATCTTCAACAGGTCTGTTTGTCTCTACCAAAGGCGCTCCTCCTTCCTCTGCTGGAGCGAGTCCAACCCTTGGCTTTATTTATGCGTGGCCGGTAGTTGGAAAAACAGTTTCCACAATTGCAACCATCTCGCAACCGTCTGGTGTCATTTTGGATTTCAGTCTCACATTTTTGGGAGCAGATGACTCAATCCTGCTTACAGATGCTGCTGGAGCAGGCTATATTCTCTCGGTGTCTTCCAGCTTGCAGGTTACTGTGAAAAGCAAAGTTGTGCTTCCTTTGAATGAGGGGCTCGCTTGCTGGGGAGTATATGTGCCAGAGCTCAGCAGTGCATATATTATTACTGCAAGCATCACTAATATTACTGTCGTGGATCCCAGCACAGGGTCTATAACTGGTACTATTACTTTGCCAGCAAGTGATATTGGGGTTTTTGACAGCGTATACGATAGAACGTTTTTGTATAGCCTTACTAATACTGCAAGTATTGCTGTGGTTAACTTGGCTGCTAACCCCCCTAAACTAATACAAAATCTTGATTTGAGTGCTTTGGGAGTTAGGAAAGGCTGGCAGGGCATAGCTATTTACTCTAGTGCTTAAGTAAGAATAAGCTATTATATATAGGATTATAAATACTAAAGCTTATTATAAATTTTAGTATTATATATAATGAACTGGGGCTTATATATTAGTATAGGTTAGCTATTCCCAAGGGATAAACCTTAGAATAGTTTTATAGTTTATGTTAGCGGAGTAGTTAGGTTAGTAAATAAGTAATTTTATTACTAGCTAATATAAATAAAAATAAATATTTAGGTTTTAATTTAATTATATTATAATACTATAGTTATATAATAATAACTAACTATTTAAGTATTTTAATAAATAATATAAAGTAAACTTATATACTTATTTAGCTAGGCTAGATTATTTATAAGTATTAATAATTTAATTATAAATTATCTTAAAGTTTTAATAATTTATTCTTAAATTAATAAATTATTAAATAATTTAATAATTTATTCTTAATTAATGTTACGATTAACCTCTTATAGTACTGTGAGACAGGTACCGGATTAACTATTAGGCCGCTCCAGCTAATTGTTAATAAAACAATTAAGCTGTATCGTTCTAATGTAAGAGGAATAACTAAGCTATATTATTCTAATAAAGGAATAACACCCAGCAAGCGTTTTATACAAATACAGGAATAATATACTATATTATTCCCTATAAAATAACTTACTATATAAGGATAAAATAATTATATTTACTAAATAGCTTAAATAATTAATTATTAACCTATAGTAATAAAATTAATCTTAGTATTTAACTTACTAGCTATATAATAAAATTACCTAACTTATACCCTACTGCCTTTATTAATATAAACTATAACTAATTTATTACCTTAAGAACTATATTATATTATTAAGTATAAACCAGTCTGTTATATATTAATAACTTTTATTTAAATTAGTATTATATACTATTTAGGTAATAGAAAGTATTATAACTCCTTAAATCCTTAAACTAATTATTACTTTTAAAAGCTTTACTATAGCTTTAAAAAAACTTTAAGTATAAAATAATTAATTAAAAAATAACCTAAAGTTAGCCTAGGATACTAAAACTATTAAAATAATTAAACTTAAGTAACTAAAACTTTTTATTAAAAAAACTAATACTTTATAAACTTTTTTTAGTTAACTTAAAGTCTATTATATTATTAATAGTAGATAATTCCTAATTATTAAAAATAAGATTTTTTATACTTTTAGCTATATAAAAAAAGCTATGCTTAATTAGTTTAAACTTATTATAAAAAACTATATTAAAATTATAGATATATTTTATAATAGTAAAACTACTTATATTTTCTTAAATTATATAAACTTTAAAACTACACTTTAGTTAGTTTTTAAAATAATTAATAAAAAATAGGTTATTAAATAAAAACTTAGGGATTTTTACTAAAAAGGGGCTATATTTAAGTATATTTCTTAGTTTATATAAATCTTTTTAAAACTTAAATAAGGATATAAACCCTTAATAAAATACTTTTATAAAGAATTAAAAAAAGAAATAAAAAATAAACTATATAAACTTAACTATTCTAATACTCTTTAAGAATATATAAATAAAGTTATTAAAATTAATAATAAGTAGTATAAATATTAAAAGAAGTATAAGGGGAAATTATAACCTTTCCCACTATACTACTATAAAGCTAACTAAGGTAAGAAATAATATAAAAAAATTACTTACGCTTATAAAATAAACCCTAGATAAATAAACCTTAATACTATTACTAAAGGGAAAAAATTCCTTTATTATAACTATAGTAAAAAAGGCTATATAGCTTAAAACTATTAATCTAAGAAAATTAATAAATTATAAAAATAACCTAAATAAACTATTAATGCTATTTATAAGTTTAAGAATAAAATTAAATAATAAATTATTTTAAACTTATAATATAATTATTAAAATTATAAAATAAAGCTAAAAGTAAAAGATTAATATAGTAGCTTTAAAATAAAAGCTATTTATAAGTTAATATCTAAGGATAAATATACGCTTTTATAAGGGAGGTAATATTAGGAAGCTGCTAATAAAGCAGGCAGTTAATATCCTTTATAATTAAATAAAGGCTATAGAATAAAAAGAATAAGGAAAAAAAGGGAGACTTAAGTAAAAAGAAAAGGGCTATAGGTAAGAAAACTGCTAACCTTAGGATTAAATAGTTTACTACCTTAAAAGGAGTAGTGAATTACTTAGTAAAAAAAAAAAAAAAAAAGGAATAGTTAGCCTAAGGCTAAAAAGCTTTTATAAAAACGCAGCTTTTTTTAAG